TATAAACATTGTTTAGGGTTATGATTGTGATCAATATTTGGGTTTGATTAATGACACATTTGCTAATCCATATTCCTATTGAAAAGAAATGAATTGAGGAGGAATTAAATCGAGCAAAAATCAAAATTGAATTCTTATGGAAGTTATTTACTATACTGTCTGCAATTAGAGTAGGAATGATACTTATTCCATAAAATCTATTTACCAAATACTCTTGAATCAGATTTTTTTTATTTTTTTAGTACAACGATATTTTTACATTAAAAAAAGGGGGAGTTCGGTTAAGCCATACAATGGGTAGCCTAATTTGGTATCGAATTCGTCATTCACGAGATTCGAACTTAAGACCTCTCATTTCTAAGTGAAGAGAAATACCACCAAACTATAGTATATATAAAACCGTTTACCTCTTTATTATATCCATAATTTTTTTTCTCCTTTTCCACTTCTTCAAAATCTGATTTTTTTTTTTTTTTTTTTTTTTGTCAAACGATAGATTTTGTTAGATTAGATATTAGATTAACTACTAACGGGGTTTGAACTCACGCCGTCACATAAATGCTGAACACCTTTTCATTACTGTGGTAAATGGCCACTTACCTTGATTTTTTTCCTTAAAAAATACTTATTTTAACTTACTGTTCCCTAATTAAGTTATTTTGTTAGGAAAACTAATGAAAAAAGCTTGAAAACTTTGAGTTTTAACGATAAGGACAAAATAAAAGGTAAAGTGAATAGTACCATGATTGACTTTTTAGTGTAAAAATGTGATTTTTCATTAAAATAAACAATACCAGGAGTTTTTCGTTAAAATTTCCTATTTTGTTGGGCATAGCCCTAAAGGTTAGTTTCCTTGTAAAAATGTTAAGCAAGATAGAATCTTATAGCCACTCAGTATTAGGGTTTGGTGGTATTCTTTTTCACAAGAAAGTGAAAGATATTATGTTTGAATCTCGTGGATAGCGAATTCGATACCAAATTAGACTGCTTATTGTGTGGTTTTCCTGAAATCTCTCTCCGTTTAATGTAAAAATATCAATGTATTAAAAAAAAAAAAAAAAAAAAAAACCGTGCATCCAAACGACGCCATTTTACTATGAGTCGGGACCGCCCCAGCCCCCGAGTCTACCGAAAGTAGAAGCAAAAGACGATTCTGAACAGAAACATACGGAAAAAATAACGTCAAGCAAATTACAGGAAAAATCTCCAACGGTCTCTCTCTCTCAAGTTCGCCGCCAAAAATGGCGGCCGCCAAGAAAAAAATTCCGGCGCCGCCGAACTCTGAGCAAATGAACTCAAGGGTCTGGCTCTTTTCCCTCCTACTCACACTCCAATACGGAGTTCAGCCCCTCATCTCGAAACGCTTCACCAGGTACTCCCGCCCCCTTCCTCGATCCCTAACATTTTCACCCCAAATCATCCATTAATTCTCTGAAACTTGTACGTTTCGTCTGGAATTTCTTCTCGCAGTAGGGAAGTGATCGTAACGTCGTCGGTTCTGACGTGCGAGATAGCCAAGGTTATCTGTGCCCTAATTTTCATGGCCAGAGACGGCAGCTTGAAGAAGGTGTACAGAGAGTGGACTTTGGTTGGTGCGTTGACCGCCTCGGGGCTCCCTGCCGCCATTTACGCATTGCAGAATAGTTTGCTGCAGATTTCTTACAAGAACCTTGATTCCCTCACCTTCTCAATGCTCAACCAGACTAAAATCATTTTCACTGCCCTCTTTACGTATTTGATTTTGAGGTATGTGGGATGAACACATTGTAAACTCCGAAATGTTCATGTTGGGTTAAGTAGCTATGGTAGTTTTTAAAGAGCTCTAAGGCGTTTGAATGTTGATGGTATGGTACCCATTAGACTGGTTTTGGTGTGGTTTGAGCCTGCAATGTATTGGTTTTTGGTTTCTACTTGATGGATTAACGTAATGTGAGATGATTCGGTGAGTTCTGAGGTGTCTGAGATTACCCATTAGATTGATCTTTGAGTGCAAATCTGTTGTGTGTAGGCAGAAGCAATCAATTCAACAGATTGGGGCGCTCTTCTTGTTGATTATGGCCGCTGTCCTTTTAAGTTTTGGGGAAGGCTCCAAAAAAGGGACTAGTAGCGGCAGTTCTGACCAGATATTGTTTAGTGGGATTATTCCCGTTTTGGTGGCCTCTGTGCTATCAGGTTTGGCGTCCTCTTTGTGTCAATGGGCTTCCCAGGTGAGCAAAACGTTTCGGTTTTTGTAGTTTGAAGATGCTATTCCCTAGTCTGGTCAATTTAACTTTATTGCTCTTATATTCCAGGTTAAGAAACACTCATCGTATTTGATGACCATAGAGATGTCTATTGTGGGAAGTTTATGCTTGTTGGTTAGTACCTCTAAGTCTCCAGATGGAGAAGCTATCAGAAAACATGGCTATTTTTATGGATGGACTTTGACGACTTTGGTAATGACCATTATGATATTTGACATTTTCCTTGAGTTTTGAATATTTGTTTGACTCCCTTGGGGCTATACACGGATGAGGAATTTGCAACTACCAAGGGACTTTAGGATAAATTGGTTACAAATGAACCCCAAGGCATTGCATGGAGGGATTTTAAATGCAGTAGATGATCATTACAAGGCATAAACAATTTCAATTAGTCATTTACAAAGGCGTTTAAATGCATTGTGTCTTGTCCATGCAAATGCCTCTACCAAAACTTTTGTAGTGCGTTTCTAACTAATTTAACTTAAATCTCTCATCCAAACATACCTGGAGTTTCTTTAATTGCTTAGTAACACACACATGCAATACTCAAAACCACCACAACCATTGGTTTAGTTTCGAAGGCAGATAAAAAAAATTTTTGGATGGTCATGCTGCTCCTCTCTGGTCAGCTGTTATTGTTTAGATATCTGTCCGCATAACATCTGTTTTCCTCTTTCTTTCATTCTTGGTGTTGTGTTTTTTTTTCCGGCTCTCCTTTGCTGTTTACTTGAGTCTGATTTGTAAGTAGTAACCATAGAAACTATATAGTCCCTGTTCAAAACACAATTATATAGTAGGCCTGTTTTATCCCAGTTTTTCCAATCTTAGGTTGCTCCCGAGTTGGGTCTAATTCTATTTGTGTGCAAAAACTTTGTATTTTTTTTATATCATAGGATTAAATCTGTGGCAGTAATTATCTTATGTTAAGAAAAGTGGTGCATACTGGGGTTTACTTTTCTGTATTTGAAGCATCCTGCTTCATCAACAAAATAAAATAACTAAAAGAATAAAAGTTATCTGTACCATCCATCCAAATTATTATTGAGAAGATATAACTTTTTAATTAATAGTACTTGGCAAAGAAAACAAATGTAATGTTATTCTCTGTTAACTATGCGTTGCATGAGTTATGGTGTGCCTTTTCAAATAATAATAATCATTATTATTTTTTTCTCAGATCCCAGTTATGTCCAATGCCCTTGGTGGAATTCTTGTTGGCCTAGTCACAAGTTATGCTGGCGGCGTTAAAAAGGTAAGTTTGACAAAATAAGGATTACAAGAGCGGTTGCTTGTTGCTCTCAAGCTTACTATTAGCTTTTTTTTTGATATTTTGTTGCAAACTGAGGCTGAAAGAGAAGAGAAAGGGTTAAAACCTACATAGTTTATTAATTCACTGCTATGCTTGATCACTAGAATCAACATGCTACCTACTTTAAGAAAACAATAGCTAGGTTACCTTGATCTTCTTTATTCACAGAACATCTCAGCTGAATAAGTTCTCCGTAGTTCTGAAGTTTCATCCTGTTCTTCATTGAAATTTCTTTCAAAATCTGACAAAATATGCCAAATGGTTTGGTAAGTTAAATCTATCCTTTGGCATGCACTTATAGTTTCTGAGTGATCATTTTGGTGCGAATGGCTGGAAGATAACTCGCTCCAGCCATAAACAAATTTCTTATACAGTTTCATTCTTGCAAGGGCCAATTCAGTTTTAAATGTACTTACCGCAGAAGCTCTATCTAACATGGTTGCAGGGGTTTGTTATTGTTTCTGCCCTTCTTGTTACTGCTATGCTGCAGTTCATTTTTGAAGGGAAACCACCTTCACTGTATTGTCTCCTGGCGCTTCCTCTCGTGGCCAGCAGCATTTCGATATACCAGAAGTATCCATACCGTGTTAAAAAGAAAGAAGCGTAAGCCCTGTTGCAACATCGGGGGAGTTGTTTTAGCCCCCCTGATCAAAACGGCTTTAAATGGTTTGGACATATTGGAGTTAGTTGATTCCAGAACGGTGGAGAGGTATTGGAATTTTTTGATTCCAAATACAATCACGCATTGTTTTCGGGTTAAATATTTGACCCGGGTTCTCGTTTGGTCAGATACCTCTTTGACCGGTGTCGCAACTGATACGAAGGTAATTGTAATGTTTTCTTGTTGTAATAGTCCAACAGATGAATGAAGATTTTTGAGATGATGATTTATCATTGCAAGATTATGCTTCTATGGGATATGTAATAGTGTGGACGCTGGAGATCAATAAAATTGTTACCTTTTTATGTTTTATTCCCCACAAGATTGTTGGTTACAGCGAATGAAATGCCCAGTATTGGCTAGGGACGAGAATGCTTTGTTGGATGTGTGGCCACACAATAAGTGATAAGATTAAGAACGAGAATATCTGAAATAAAATAGAAGTGGTCGCAATTAATGATAAAATGAAAGAAAATTGGTTAAGGTCGTTTTGGACATGTAAAACGAAGACCTCCATATACTTCAATTAGAAAATACGATTATGAGACAGAGACTCCTGGTAAAAAGGGTAGAGGAAGGCATCAGAAGATATAAACAGACACTTTAAGAAAAGACATGGGATACTTGGAGCGCAATAACGTTCTAGAATTTATATAAATGATCTCACTTAATGGGATAAGACTTCGTTGTTATTATTTGTTTGTAATACAAGATTGGTAATGACTTAGTACACAACCCATTAACACTAAGATATGTTGTAACGACATCCAATGATCATATCTGACCGTCGGCAGGTGATTCATGCGTGTATTATTGGGCCGTTGCAACCTTGTTTTAGGCTCCGTCGTCAACTGAGGCCCACTTCCACTGAGAAATGAAAAGTGAAGCACGGAGCTCCTCTCACGCACACAAAGCTCTTCACCCGCGGCTGCTCCATCGTACCAAATTCAGAGAGGAGAGAAATTCGACATGGGAAGCAGATTGGGAAGGAGGGTAGTCCACTTCGCGAACCTACCCATCAAGCTTTTGATGCCCAACGATTTCACCAACATCACAGAAATCGCTCTCAAAACCATCCCATCGGCCTCCAAGATCGAAATCAAGCGCGTCATGGAGTCCCTCTACGGCTTCCAGGTCGACAAGGTCCGCACCCTAAACATGGAGGGCAAGAAGAAGAAGCGCGGCGGACTTCTCATCGCAAAGCCCGACTACAAGAAGGCCTACGTCACCCTCAAGGCCCCCCTCTCCCTCTCCCGGGACCTCTATCCCATCGGAATCGTCCAGCAAGACCGCAAGCAGCAGGCGGTCAACCAGTCCAAGTCTGCTGTCGTTGAAGAGGGCGACACCGAGAAGCATTGGCTTTACGGGAACAAGGAATGGCAGCAGCAGCCGCAGAGCGCTCGCAGGGGTAAGAGCGGCGATAAGGGTTCGGCTGTTTTCGGCGAGGGTGCCGCCAAGTTTCCCTGGAGCAACATGAGATTTCGCTAGGCAGGTTTGATGAGATTTTAGGGTTTTTATTTGGAGATTTCGAATTTGTGATATTTTAGGGTTTGATGAATTATATGGCCATTTAGTGGCTATTTTGCTAGTGAACCTCTCTTTGCTAGGACTGCAGCATTTGGTGTTCGATTAAAGGAGCATTTCGGTGTTATGTTTATTGTTAATCTTGTCTTATATTGCGCGGTTATGTGTTTTACTTAACCTGGTAGTTGTTCATAAGGTTTGAAATTGTCGAGGACGGAATTTAATGGGATTATTATGACATATGATATGAAAGAAATGTGTTTTGTTTGGTTGGCAATCGGTGTAAGGTGTAAAAAAATGACGGCTGCTACTCAACAAGTTTATTATATTTGTCCATAAAAATGTTTCGTCGCCTTTTGCGATCCAGTTCTGAAAATTTGCAGGTTTCTAGTTGTAGCAAAGGATATAGTGAGCCAGGTGTTCTATGGGAGCCAGGATTATTGTAGGGAAAAGTAAGGTGTAATGATAGGAAAACTTCAGACATGTTCTCTTTATTTCTTTTAATGTATATTTGATACATTACGTATAGGTATGCAATTACGAATTATCAACTATCCCCAAGTGCTCGTAAACAAACTAGCTGATACAAATGATGGTCTTGAAGGCGTAACTCCCACATCGTGTGGAATGTCTGTGCCTCTTAGGCTAATGCAGTTTAGGACATTGACGACCTTTGTATGGAGGTGGTTCTGCGTCTAGATGGGTTGGTTCTTTGTTGGTTGTTTCCAGTTTCATTTTCCTCAACTTTTGTATGGAAAGAGTTCTTGATTTTTCTCCATCCCAAACTCCAACCTGATACATTCTTTTGCTTTTTGCTTATTATCCTTTCATACTCGTGTTGCAGTTCAGAGTAGTCCCTCTGCAGCTCTGCCATCGTTACTTTTACATTCTCAAGTTCTGCTTTAAGATTTTTAATCTCTGCATCTGTTGATGAGTGGTTCCTCTCCTGTTCAGAGTTATCGCCACTTGGTGATTCCTTATCTTGCATCACTGTCCTCATCTTTACTTGCTCTGAGAACAGAACCTGCACATGTTACATAACTGCTTTCTACAGTAAGAGATGTCAATTTTGATGGACCACGTTCTAGTTGGCTCTGAGATTATGGGTTCCATGTGTGATAAATGTAATGGTTGCCGAAGTTCTCAGTTAAGCGTCTACGCCTTTGTGAGGATTTTACTTCTCCATTATGATAAGGGTATATATAGAACGGTATTTTCCCTGTTTGTAGGAATGCTATTAGAATTAAGGTTTTTGAAATTTTCTGTTTATTTGATGATTTTAGGTATTCTATTCAAATGATGTAATTTTTCTTTCATTTCAAAGGGGCAACAGTTGAGTGATCTTTGACATGCATCAATCAATTTAGCCAATACAAGATTTAAATATCTAATTAGGGTTCGTATTAGAGATTCAGATTGGAATTTATATTTGGATGGTCTTTGCTGCTATATATTTAATCACGCTGGTGTAATTCAATTTTTTTCTTCTGGTTACAGTGTAATTCAAATTTCACTAGAGAACTCTTAGTTTGAAATTTGTTCGGTTACTTTGTTATACAATACTCTGTTTCTAGCATGTTTTGTGTGACATTGAAGTCTTTCCTTCCAATTGCTAGATTATTCAACCTGAGACCTGCCTGAGCCCCATCTCATGTTTTCATCACTTAGCCGGATGCCTATATGTTTACTCTTTGAATTCAGCGTGCATAAAAATTGTGCTAAGCAACAAAAAATGAGGCACTTATTTCAATTTGTAGTCGTAGTTAATGTTTTTTTTTTTTTTTAGTTTTCTCTTGCCATGTATTTTCATCTTCTCAAAGGTCTCTAATTAGCTTCATTGATTGTGCTGCTTATAAACTACAAGTCCCTTAGTCTCTGGTTGGTGGAGGTTCTTGGGTTACATTTCATTTTCTTGTTACTACATGATAAACTTTAAATATACATATTTTTGAATTTAATTGGAATGCAAGCGTTTAGATCTGTCATGGTAGAAGGTCTAGATTCCTTAAGGATATAAATGATATCATAACATTTTAGACTAAGTTTCAGCATGGGCCAATTCGAAACTTGAAAAATGTTACCTGGACAATGGTTCTCATAGGCAGTCGATCATTTTGTGCAGCGTGCATGCACGCATCAAGTGATAGTTTATTGCAGTTCATTATTCTGCATAGCCTTCTCCGGTCATGCTCAGGCAGCGTAGGATGAGTCTGAAAGAAAAAGGGTTAAGATTTTAGGTTATAAATAAGGTAAAACTAGAGAAACAGGTGAGAAGGTAACCTTTAGATAGGTATCAATGGCTCCGTAAAGTCCATCATCACATGTTCGAGCATTTTCTGGCAGTAATTCCGCCATTACATGAAACTTGATTATGGAGAGTTTCGGGTCTCCTGCAATCTCTGATAGGTAGTTGTCTAACAGCTTACTAACAGCAATTTCACCAGTCTTCTGTTGCTGTTCTTGATGCTCATGCATCAAGAAATATTCCACAATCCGTTGCACAACTTCAATGTCATGCAATGTGCATTCTTCAGGTGAACTGTACTACACATTATGATAATTAACAAGAACATGAAGGTTGGTTACGCCGGTAGGATCTATTGTATGTTTCCAATTCATAGTAAATAAAGAATGCAGAATACTCACTCAACCAGTTTCCCTTGATCTGCATTGTAGTACCTAGGAATCAGCAAATCGTTCACATTGGCATCTTCTAACATCATCCCGGCTCTCTTTTCAAGCTCTGAAATCAACGCTGGCGATGCAGAGTACAGCATGGCCAACTTTAACATCTGCAATAAGAACTTACATGGAAGAGCTTTGTTTTGAGGAGGTAGTATGCTTACTATGCTTTCAATAATTGCTTTTTGCTGCCTTGCTGTATTCGTAACCCCTGTCCTCCTTCCTCCTATTCAATACACTAAACTGCATGTCATTTTTTCCAAGCCCATATCCTCTTAGTCCTTCAAACTCTATATCCACGCCTGTCAACCATCTTTCTGCATAGTGCACGATACATTTACCAACAAACTCTGGTCTGTTACTCTTTGCCTTTATTGCTGCTATAGTCCTCATGAAATGATCTATTCGAAAGGTAGACACTTCGCTAAGCCACCAGCCTTCTTGACCATCTGCATCCCCAATGGCGTTTTCTCTGGAAGCCTTCCAAGCGATTGAGTCACAGCAGCGTCTGACAATTTGAAGATTTTCAGCCCACGGAGAGAGAGTTTCACAAGATTTAAGCACAGAAATGGTGTCTTTCCGTGAAGAAAGGACAACCAAGGTGAGAAAAGCTTCAGTCTTAGAAATGAGATTTCCATCTTGAACTTCTTCAGTCATTTCTAGAAATTCCGAGGCGCATCTTAACGGAGCTATATTGTTAGGGTTCAAGTCCACTGGAAGACCATAACAGAATTTTAAAATGATTTCAAAGGTTTCTGATCCGCCGGGGAAGTTTTCAAGCTTGAGGTCATAACTGAAATTTGAAGGTGAAGGATGAATTTCCAATCGACCTATGTAGCCACATTTCGATACCAAAGGATACTGCAAAAACAAAGAGAAATGAACCATGAACTTATGACTACTGTGTAGTTGTGTGTTGAAGTTATGACTCGAGCCGTGCATGTTTGTATTGCTCTGTAAGTTTACCTTGTGGACGTCGAAGGTGATGCCTTGAACTTGAATGGTTAGGTCTGTCGGGACATGAGAATTGATAAACCTGCACGAATCCACCAAATAAATATGTCTTTACTCGTTATGGAATATATGCAGAGTTAGAATTTAGACAAGACTTTCTCTCCTTGTACCATGACAGTGTGTTTCTTTTCGAAGCTACCAGGCTATAGTGATGTGTTTGGTAGGAACAACGATGCGCTGGTCGTGAAGTTCATCGGAGCCCTCGTAATCGGCCTCGGCCTCTGGAATTTGCGGTGGATTTAGGGACATGTTCACGGCGACGCTTTTGGCCAGATATGTTATGAGAGACGGTAGAGAGATTTGGATGGAATAACATGATATAAGAGAGTGGGGATGTGATGTGAATAAATGAATGAGAAGTGAGTATGTGGTTGTGAAGAATGTAGATCTACTCCTTATGAGGGTTGGTGGAGTGCCGTTCTCTAATTGTTGCTGGCTTGGGACTAACAATTTCTAAATGTTATGTTGTTTGAAAGAGATGGAGAATGTGAGTTTATCAGCTCTGACCGGTCTATTATCTGCCATGTAATCATGGAAGCGACCAACAGATGGTTGTGTGGCTATCAATATAGGAGGAATCGTCTCTCTCCTAATCTCTCTTCCTTTCTATGTCTCCTATTTGAATGGCTACGGTTAAGTCACGTTAATATCTTATATTAATTTTTATAGAGATAAAAGATAAAAAACAAAATGTGAGAAGAGGGGAGAGAAGAGGAATAAGAGGGGAGAGAATCTTACTCCATCAATATATTAGTAAGAATCGGGGGACACATTTTTTTGACAAACTTTCTTACTACCCATTCACACACACACACACATATAAATATTTGGTCAAAATAGTCCTTAAAATTGGCATAACTCCTCACTTTGGTCATTGAGATTTGAAATCGATAGAACTAATCCTTGAGTTTGTCCATTGTTAATAATTTTGGTCATTTCATGAATAATCTTTGTTAAATGAGGACCAAAATGACAAAGTTACCCTCAATTGAATAAACAATGAGTCAAAATCATGTGACAAAAGTTGAGAATATTTTTTGTCATTTTCTCCTTATTTAACAAAAACTTTCCATAGAATAACCAAAATAATTGATAGCGGACAAGCTCAAAGATCAGTTATATCAATTTTAAATCAGAGATCAAAATAAGAGTTACGCAAATATCTTGTATAACTTTTGTGAATCTCATGTTTACAGAGAATGATTGTAAGTGTTGATGTAACATCCGATCTACTTAAGGGTTCCATGTGGATGCCTTGTGGATTGTATTTAACTTGTCCAGATCTATGCCAACAAGTTGTACTAATTTCCTTTTCAACAATACAGCCACATAAAAAACAGATAAGTCAACCGACCCCATGTCAAGCAAGAAATCGGCACACCACTGAAATCGCCACCATCACAATATATTCCCAAAAGTAAACTTTCCTATCAACAAATTTAACTCTTAATCTTGTGCTTAAAGTCATATTTGAGAGTGAAGGTGCTTGGTAGAGTTGGAATCTGGGTGTCGAATGTTTAGTCCGGTGATGGTTTGCCAAAAAATTTGATAAAACAACAACAAAGCCTTATCCAACTAAGTGGGTTAGCTGTATGAATCATAAAACGTCATTGCGCTCAATTATGTGTCACGTCTTCTATTAGATTAGTTCACATGCAATAAAATTAAAAAAGAAGCGGCAAGAAATCGAGAAAAGTAATTGGAGAATTGGTAATTTATGTGTTAATAGATTATTTGCTCTTGCCATATCCCGAAAGTGGATGTTTTGAATTTTTTGTATCATCTGGATTGACGCAACTTTGGTTTGTTGTGTCTGTTATGGGGCCGTAAAATATGGATTCAAAGAGAATGGCAAGAAGAATAAGACTAATGGTAACCATAAGCCTGTCAAGTTTAAGGTAAAAAACAATGTATTCAGCTTCCAAAACAACATTTTAATGTTTGTAATTAAAATTGGACTTTTGGTTTTTCGTCTGATTAATGTCATTTGCTTTCATTTTAATTACCTAAACCTTATGAAATGGCAGGTGGTAATTTGTTTATTTAAGTCATTTGGCTTCTCATTTGTAATGATCTTTCAAGCTTTTAATCAATTAATCAAATTATTCTTTGGGATTTCTATCAAACTGGTGCACTCCAGAACTTTATCCTTCAAGGATTTACGCTTGTAATCCTTACTAGCTTCGTACTATGTCAAAATCTTAGACTTTTTCAAGGTATTTCAATAACTACCTATGGAATTAGGTTGACATTTTTTTATGTTGGTTGACCAAATGCATTCCCTCTTAGACTTGTAAACAGGTCGGTTTTATTAGGTTTGCTTGATTTCAACACGACCCATTAACTTAATGGGTCGTCCAAACCTAATTTATTAAGCTAATGGGTCACCCATTTCACCCATTAACATTTTTTTTTTAAATTTTGCATAAATGAATTAAAAGTGAAAGAGTTAAAAGAAAAGTAGAGCGGATGTTCGATGGCGCAAAAGTTCTTCCATGTTTACTTGCAAAGTTTGCTGGTGGAGAATAATGGTTTTTAGTTTATTTTTCAAGGATTGATACATGTGATGAGTTCTAGTCAAACATTGTGAAGCTTCCCAAACAATCACCAACATTCAGAATCTTCCCACTATCTTGGTCCCAATCTGCACAATAAAAAAACTCCAACCATCATATAACTCAAAATTTTCAATTTTTATATAATTGAAAAAAAAAATATTTGATATAAATGGATGAAGAAAATGAAAAATGGGGAGGTGTACCGACTTGAGAATGTCCTAACTACTTTCTCTTGATGGTTAGCAAGTACTTCCTGGCCACCGGTCTAATATGGATCAACCTCAGATACCCTATCTCAAACTTGCAAGTCTTAGACAATTGGAATGGAACAGTGACGGAAGGAGGAAGAGGAAGCTGAGCTCCCAATATTTTTTTGTAATAATATTTTTTAATTCAAATGACCGTTAGTCCCATAAGCTCCATGTGAGCCTTTAATACAACTTCACAATTCCACTAATGCCATCTGGCACTTCTACTAATTATCTAATTAACAACTAAACTCCCATATTAACCTCTACGAAGTGATTAAGCCGATCACTTATTACATTTCATATCATTAACCCCTCCCTTGAAGAACAACCTTGTCCCCAAGGTTTAACAAACAAAATCTCGAAATTTGGCAGTGAATTCATCAAAGTCTGCCTAAGTGGCTTCATTAGGTTGTCAAACCCTCCCAAAGCATCAAGACTTGAACTCTTGCAACATTTCCCTTCTTGTACATGCGCCTCTGCAGCGCTTCGTTTAGTTTCTTAGCTTCCAAGTTATCTATGACTAGCTCTGGTAAAGCAGCAATAGGAATGGTCTGAGAACCCAACTTCTTGTTCAAGCAGCTCACATGGAAAACATGATGAATTTTTGTGCCCTCTAGAAGCCTGAGTTTATATGCTACCTTGCCAATTCTTTCCAACACTTCAAATGGACCATAGAACTTAGGGTGCAACTTGTGAAAGGCATGGAGTTTAATGACTGCAACTAATAAGGTATCAATATCAAATATACGCAATCTCCCACAATAAATTCCCTCTCAGTTCGATGTTTATTTGCTTGATGCTTCATCCGAGTTTGAGCCCATTCCAAATTAGATTTCAGCAATGCCAACATCTTATCCCTTTCTAGTAATGCTTGTTCCACCACTTTCAACTTAGTTGTGCCCCCCTTTCATAGGTAGTAATGAGTGGAGGAGGAATACCATAAACAACTTCAAAGGGAGTGACTTTGGTAGATGTGTGGTATAGGTGCGTTATAACTCCACTCAGCCTAAGGAGGTTTCTAAGCACCGATTCATAACTTCAGTTTGTCCATCACTTTGGGGATGGTATCCAGAACTCATGCTCAGTTTTGAGCCTTGCAATTTGAAGAACTCTTGCAAGAACTGACTGAGGAACACAGAGTCTGTCACTAACTGATGCCATGGAGTTTAAACACATGGTCCACAAATAATTGGGCTACACTAGCTGCTGTGTATGGATGGGATAGAGTAACAAAGTGGGCAAACTTAGATAATATGTCTACCATAACCATGATCACTGTCTTGCCCTTCCAGTTAGGTAACCCCACAATGAAATCCATGCGGATGCTAGTCCATATTTTCTTTGGAATGGGAAGAGGTTAAAGTAAAACTGGTGGAGCTATGGTTTCATATTTATTTTGTTGACAGATAGCACACTTAGATACATATTTCTAATATTTTGCTTTATTCCCTACCAATAAAAGCACCTTTTGAGCCTTTGATACGTTTTGAGCACCTTGGTGACCAAAAGTGGGAGTGCAATGGTGTTCCTCCAAGATTTTGGACTTCCAACTAGAGGTAGGTCTTAGAACAATTCTGCCTTTGTACTTCAGAAACCCATTATCAATGTGAAATGTGCTTAACTTGGAATTAGTGCCCTGTGAAAGATCTGTGATGGAGTATGCCACCTCTTGCGACTTACTTTTAACCCATAGATTAGGCTCCAACCCTCTGCATAGTTCATCTAGCCATCCAAAATATGGATATGTGATATCCTTACACTCTAGCATATTAAGTAACACTTCCACAGGCACATCAGAGAATTTATTGGGTGTTGGAACCCTAGATAGGGCATTAGCAACCACATCATCCTAGCCATGTTTGTACTGAATCTCGTAATCATAATCAAGCAATTTTGAAGCCCATTTTTGCTGGAAAGCAGTGTTAGCTCTGTGCTGCAAGAAATATTTAAAGCTAATGTGATCAGTCTTAATGATAAAGTGTCTTCCTTGCAAGTAGTTCTGCCATTTCTTTATAGCATGCACTATAGCAATGAGTTCTCTTTCGTATGTAAAAAGAGCTTGGTTCCTTGGCCTCAATGCTTAGCTAGTGAAAGCCATTGGTCTACCCCTTTGTTGCAAGACAACTTCTATCCCATTACTAGAAGCATCACACTCCAACTCGAATGGCTTTGAAAAATTACGAAAAGTCAAGACCTATGGTGAAGCCATTACCCTCTTCAAGTGCTCAAAAGCCTCATTAGCTGAGGGAGACTATACAAAGCTATCCTTCTTAGTAAGATAATATAAAGGTTGACAAATTTTCCTATATCCTGGCACAAATTTTCTGTAATAGCTCGTTAGTCCCAAGAACCCTCTCAATTGTTTCACAGTGGTGGGAGCTGACCAATCAAGTATAGCCTTAACCTTTCTAGGGTCAACTAATACTCCTTCTCTAGACACAATATGGCCTAAGTACTCCATTGTGCTTTGACCAAAAACACATTTTTCTTTTTCACATATAGTTGATTTTGATGCAAAATTGCAAAGGTTTCTTGCAAGTGAAGCAAGTAGTCCTCCCATGTTTTACTATAGATCAAAATGTCATCGAAGAAGACCAAGATAAATTTTCTAAGAAAGGGCCTGAAAAGATCATTCATGAGGTTTTAGAAGGTAGTAGGAGCATTGGTGAG